CTCAAGGTTTTGGGTCATGCTCTGCTGCTTTCCCAGGCCACAAGCAGAGAACTGGATGGAGAAACAACAGCCAGGATATGTACTAGCCCCCATATGGAGCATGTAAGGTGAGGATTTAGCCACTGGGTTACTGTGCCAGGCCCTTACATGGACTCAACACACTGTGTCCTGTAACTTTTTTTTTAAAGATTTATTTTTATTATTTTTTTTTTATTGGAAAGGCGGATATACAGAGAGGAGAGACAGAGAGGAAGATCTTCCGTCCGATGATTCACTCCCCAAGTGAGTGCAACGGGCCAATGCTATGCCGATCCGAAGCCAGGAGCCTCTTCTGGGTCTCCCACGTGGGGTGCAGGGTCCCAAAGCTTTGGGCTGTCCTTGACTGCTTTCCCGGGCCACAGGCAGGGAGCTGGAAGGGAAGCGGGGCTGCCGGGATTAGAACTGGCACCCATATGGGATCCCGGGTGTGCAAGGCGAGGACCTTAACCACTGCGCCACCACGCTGGGCCCTATGTCCTGTAACTTTTGAGTCTGTCTAGAATCCTTATTATTGGCAGTTTTATCACTATTTTTCCCATTGAGAAACTGTGGCTCAGACCTTTTCATCACATGGCTCTTTAAAAATATGTCTATTTATTACTTTATTAATTTAAAAGATTTATTTATTGGAAAGACATATAGAGAGGAGGATATATAGAGAGGAGGAGAGATAGAGAGGCTTCCAGTCTGAAGCCAGGAGCCAGGAGCCAGAACCTCTTCCAGGTCTCCCATGCGGGTGCAGGGTCCCAAAGCTTTGGGCTTCTTTCAGGTCACCCACGTAGGTGCAGGAACCCAAGAACTTACGCTATCTTCTGCTTCTGGTGTGTTAACATGGAGCTAGATTGGGAATGGAGCAGCCCAGAACACCAACTAATGGCCATAAGTGATGCTGGTTTTGCAGGTGGCAGCATAATGTGCTACGCCAGGATACTGGTCCTATCACATGGTTTATTAGTTGGTGGCATTTGATTAGAACCTAGGTTCCATGGTCTGCTCTGATTTTTATTTTTTAAAGATTTACTTACTTTTATTGGAAAGTCAGATATACAGAGAGGAGGAGAGACAGAGAAGAAGATCCTCCGTCCAATGGTTCACTCCCCAAGTGGCCACAACGGCCGGAGTGGAGCCAATCCGAAGCCAGAAGCCAAGAGATCTTCCCGGTCTCCCATGAGGGTGTAGGGTCCCAAGGCTTTCGACCATCCTTGACTGATTTCCCAGGCCACAGGCAGGGAGCTGGATGGGAAGTGGAGCAGCCGGGACATGAACCAGCGCTCATATGGGATGCCTGTGCTTGCAAAGCGAGGACTTTAACCACTACGCTATTGTACCGGGCCTGATTTTTCTTGAACTTTTGGACTAGTTGATTGTAGAGTTTTGCCTCAGCTCCTGGGATACCCTCTTGTCAGAATTTTATCTAGTCCATTTGTGCTGTCACAGACATATGGACAAACTCTGTATACACTCAGCAATGAACTGCAAGCTTCTGGGCCTGAACTTGACCTCCTCAGGCCAGGGCATTATTGTGGTGTAAACTTGATGTGGCTGCAATGTCCCTCACTTCCTACCCCACCAGCCCTTCTTAAACATTTACCACCAGTACCTCTCTTCCCCCTCCTCCAGAGCAAAAGAGGTAGGGACCAGCATTCAAGCTCTTCAGGCTTCTAGTGCCAAAGTTAGTGGAAAAGTAGTGGTCTGCTCTTTATATCCGGGCTTAGATGCCAGTCTGACTGTCCAAGGACCTCTTCTTGGGCAGAGGGGCTGCTCTGGCCTCCATTTTTTTGAGTCAAGCTAGAATTTTCCTAGGAAAAACTGCCACCTATGGCTACATTTTTTTTTAAGGTTTGCTTTGATTGGAAAGGCATATTTACAGAGAAGGAGAGGCAGAAAGATCTTCCATCTGCTGGTTCATTCCCCAAATGGCTGCAATGGCTGCAATGGCTGCAGCTGAGCCGATCTGAAGCCAAGAGCTTCTTCTGGGTCTCCCACGTGGGTGCAGGGACCAAGTTTGGTCCATCCTTTACTGCTGTCCCAGGCTACAAGCAGGGACCTGGATGGGAAGTGGAAAAACTGGGATGTGAACCGGCACCCATATGGGATCCCAGCACTGTGAGGTAGAGGATTAGCTGGCTAAGCTTATTGTGCAGGTCCCTATGCCGATATTCTGTGGTTTGTGGCTCCTCCCCCTTGCCTCTGTGCTGGGTTTTGCTGGTGTCCAAACCCCAAGTCCTTCCAAGGCTCTGTAAAATGAATTTCATGCCACCTGCCACCAGGGCTGTGCAAAGGACAGTTAGACAAGGCCATCCTCTGCCTGGCATGAAGCAGGCACTCAACTAGTATGAATTCACCTTTCTGGCCCTCACCTACGGAGTTCTTCTCAGGCCCTTGCTGACTTCACTACTTGGGGAGTGAACCAGGGCACGCGTGGTGCTTGGTGACTGACATGGCTTGCTGTCTCATCTGGTTAAGAAGCGTTTCTGGAGGTTTCGCTGTTTTCAGCCTTAGTTCAGGTGGCATCTCCTCTCCGGGGCCAGCTTTAATGGTTGAGCTAGGCCTTCACTCATTTCGCAGCCCTGGGCCCACTCACGCTGCATGTAGTTACTGCCAACCTCCCTGCCCTTCCCAGCACCTTATAAGTATACTGAGGGAGTAGAGTAGAGCCCGAGGTTGATTGATTACTCTCTCCTCACTGCTCAGACTAGTGCAACTGTCTGCACTCAGTTTTGTTGGATGATTTGTAAGCAAGGCCCCCTCTCTCCCTCGCTGAGAATTTGCAGAGCTGGGAGTAGGAGATTGCTGTGGTCCCTTCTTTTTACACAACTCCTCTGCTGTGTCTGAGGCTATAGTTACCACCTGTGATCTCTGTGCTGGAGCCCTCTGGCTGGGACTCATCCCACGGTCCTCGGAGATGGTCGAGACAGTGTGGCAGGGATGGGCTTGGGAGTAATGGGCTCGAGTGTGCTAGTCTGCAATCCCCAGGGCATGAAGGGACCCCGTACTGTTGGGAACAAACAGGAGTCTGTGCTGCCTGTGGGGACCTAGGAAGGGCTTCCAGGTACTTCAGTCCTCTCAAAATCCCTCCGTAACTTCCTGGGGCTTGTCCTGTCAGGAGGGCTGGCTAGGTGTTCTGGGTCTCCCCTCTTTGTCCCCTTCTTAGGACTATGTGAGAGTTGCTGGGCTGTATATCAGCCCTGTGTTACCCAGTCTCTCCCTGTTCTTCTGTTATTTATTTCCAAAATCTCTTCAGATCCTGAACCTCCTCTGAGTATCATGGTAGTTCTGTTAAGTAGATCTCGTATCCCCCACTGGATAGGAAAGTAAGGCTTGGTGACTTACTGACCCTGAAAACAACAGATGAGCAACAAAGTTGAGTTCGGGACCCAGGCAGACCCAGGCAGAGCTCTTGGCCTCCAAACTTTTTTGCTTACCACTGGACCAGGGATTCCTCTCCCCTGAGGAATGGCTACAACTCCTTGCCTGAACTGGGGGAAAATGTCTTTGCAGAGAAATGAGCCCATCAGCTCAGCATTGGCCTAAATCCACCCTGAAGATCTTGGCCAGTGCCTGGGTCTGGAAGAGCAGGCTTGATACTGGGGTTTCCAGCTTTGTTGCTGCTGGTTGTTGTTTCCAGTGGCCACCAGAGGGCGCGAGGGACCTGGGAAAGTTCTGCCGTTTCTGGTTGGTTTTGCTTGGAAATGAAGAGTCTCTTCTCAACTTTTCTAATAAATCTTGTTTTAAAACGAAATAATAATAATAATAATAATAATGTGTTTTAAGTGGGACGAGATCATTGTTTAAAAAGAAAAATATCCTAAACCACACGTTTGTACAGATTCAGTTAACCTGAACCTTTGGGAGCTAGATATGCTCTGGAATTTAGAAACATTTCAAAATTTATAAAAGTCACCTGGTGCATATGCTTAGTTTTCTGTAACACCTCTAGCAGGGTCTGGGATGACCCTTCATAACCGAATACCAGCACAGTGCGTGAATATTCACCCCAGATGGGCCAATTAGATTCTTACCAGTTCTGATGCCAAATGAGTTAAATAAAGCCTTTTGGTTTTTAAAGCTTTGGGGTTTTTTGCATTTTCAATGATGGATTAGAGGGGAAGTGAAATGAAATCACCTGTACTGCCAACACTAAGGGATAATTTGTTCTAGTCTTCCTGAGTTTGTGTGCTTATGTGTTTGTATACATATGTGTATGGATGTCTATAAATGTGTACACTTTGTTAAATATGTTCAGTCATAAATGAGATAATATTCTGTACTTTTTAACAAAGATTTGTTTTTATTGGAAAGTCAGATATACAGAGGGGAGGAGAGACAGAAAGATTTTTCATCTGATGATTCACTCCCCAAGTGGCCGCCATGGCCAGAGCTGCGCCAATCCGAAGCCAGGAGCCCAAAGTCTTTTCCGGGTCTTCCATGTGGGTGCAGGATCCCAAGGCTTCGGACTGTCCTCAACTGCTTTCCCAGGCCACAAGCAGGGAGCTGTATGGAAAGTGGAGCTGCCGGGATTAGAACCGGCGCCCTTCAAGGCAAGGACTTTAGCCACAAGACTACCATGCCGGGCCCATATTTTGTTTACTCTTTGTCTTATTCTTTGCCTTATGCAATAGAGCTTAGAATTCCCTACCTGTTTGGGGGGTTCACTCTGTGTTAAACATCTTCCATGGATTTAACTCCTTGAAGTAGAACTAGATTCTCCCCCCAGGCACTTGCTGGGTCTGGGGCTCTGGCTGCCTGGGAAAGTGCGGCTGTTTGGGGATAGGCCCTGTGAGGTCGGCAGGGATCTGGCGGCATTGGGGGCTTCAGCTCTCAGGGTACCTGGAGCGCCTCTGCTTCACTAAGACAGTGTCTCCTCATGTTTCCTGGACGGAGGAGTGAGGAATGGCTGAGACTATCCCAGAAAGGGGTGCAGGCCTTCCCTGGCGCTGACCTGCACATCTTCCCTCCAGCAGGAGCACTGGTTTGAGAAGGCCCTGCGAGACAAGAAAGGCTTCATCATCAAGCAGATGAAGGAAGACGGCGCCTGTCTTTTCCGGGCTGTAGGTGAGTCTCTGTCAGCACGGGGCTTGGGCAGCCCCTGAACTGTGTCCCCAGCTCTCAGGAGTCACCCCTGAGACAGACTTGAGGCAGACCTAGGCACTCACTTGAGAACTTGAACTTCAGATTGGTTCCTTCTCAGACATTGTGTGGTGGTGTGAGAGTACGAACAGTGGTGATCCAGCCAGCAGTACAGGAAGCTTTTTTTTTTTTTTTCTTTAAGATTTATTTTTATTAGAAAGTCAGATTCACAGAAAGAAGGAGAGACAAAGATCTTCCATCCGCTGCTCACCCCCCAGGTGGCCTCCACGGCCAGAGCTGAATCTATCCAAAGCTAGAAGCCAGGAGCTTCTGGGTCTCCCACGCGGGTGCAGGGTCCCAAGGCTTTGGGCTGTCCTCAACTGCTTTCCCAGGCCACAAGCAGGGAGCTGGATGGGAAGTGGGACTGCCGGGACTAGAACCAGCGCACAAATGGGATCCTGGCACTTGCAGGTGGAGGATTACCCAGTTGAGGCATCGCTCCTGGCCAGACATGGAGCCTAAATGAAGATGCTTCCATTTATCACAGGATAAAAGTGGCTCGGACCTAAGGAGTATATCACCCCAGGGCACACAGAAACTATGCGTACAGTGGGGAGTCAGTGCGGCTTAGTCTGAAGTCCAGGTCCGGGCTTCGCACCTGTCTGTTGGGCTTGCAGTCTCTGTTCTTCCACTTGAGTGTGTATTTGGGCTACAGCCACAGCTAGATCCTAACATGTTTCTTCTGTCACAGATTTTTTTTAATGTACACAAAAGTGGAGAGAATTAAGAGCCCTCGTTTACTCATCCTCAGGCTTCAAAATAGTCATCCACATAGGGCCAGCGGGTTTCATCACAACCCCACCCACTCCTTCTCGCTCCCCTGAAACAAGGGTATTTTTGAAGCAAAACACTGCCATTATATCTGTATGAAAGTATTTATGTATCTTTCCCACAGATAACAAAGTTGTTCACTGTTTTTATTTAAAAAAAAATGCAATTCCAATGCTACAAATGACAAGTTAATCATTTCTTCCTGCTATCTGCAGTCCAGCCTGGCTACACCTCTAAGGCCATCTGGCCCTGAATTTGTGATCTGAGAAGGAGTTGTGAGATTCCATGCTAGTGAAAGGGAAGCCAGGATGGCGACCAGGTCTTCCCTCCACTGCTGTGATGGCTACTGACAGATGTCCTCCAAGAAGGGATGCAGGATCTCCTCTCTCTGTTGTAATTCTGCCTTTAAAGTGAAACCAAGTCTCCTGAAAAAAAAAAAAAAAAGCCAGGATCCAAAGCCATGATCCAGGAGCTTCTTCTGTGTCTCCCACGTGGGTGCAGGGTCCATCCTCGACTGCTTTCCCAGGCCACAAGCAGGAAGCTGGATGGGAAGTGGAGCTGCCGGGAATATGAACCAGCACTTGCAGTGTATGCAACTGAGGGTTTAGCCTCTAGGCCATAGTGCCAGGCCCCCTGACAAGGGCTGTTAAACTAGAAATCAAAAGAGCTATCTTCTAGCAGTGGCTCTTACTCATAGCTGCTATGTCCTCCCAACCTCCATTTGCCCGTCATGGTGTTGATTCTCAGGGGTTCTTTGAGTTCCTTGTGGATCTTCTATTCTGAGTCTCAGGTGCCTCCACATCTACTAGTGGGATGGACTGATTCAGGACTCACTCTTGGTTGGTTTTGCCACTGATTCTCATCTTGAACTTTGACAAGCAACCTTCTTTCTTAAGTCTCTTTTATCATCTTAAGTTGGGACCAAAAGACCCAATGTGACAAAATGTAGTGAGGTTGCTTTGGTAAGTCTTCACAGGGCTTGGCATGTGATAAGAGCAAGAGCATCGGTAAAATCCCAATGTTGTTCTCGAAGGCATCCCAAAAGCCAATTTTGAATGAGTAGAAGGAAACTGTATTAGGATAAATGGTTGCTTCCCCTGTTTTGCCAGGCAGAAGAGAAGATGATGGTCTCCATGGGGCTGGGGAATATCCCAGTCCTACCCCTTGGACTCAGGGTTGCTTTCTCCCTTGATGTTTTCTAGAGAAGAAGCTGAGTTCAAGGGCATCTTGCACAAAAGGAAGGCTGAAAGAGAGCAGGCAGGAGCATCCAGTTAGAGGCAGGCTACTGATGAAGTTAAGGTTAGAGAAAGTTAAGTGCACACCTGGGGTTTGGGATGTCATTGAGGGCTTTTGTGGACCTGGTGTGTGAAGTCACTGAGATCAAGAGTGTGTGTGTGTGTCTATAAAACTACTCTCTCCAAATACTCCCTGCCATTTCCCCTCCTGGGGGCCTTCCAGTAAGGGGCCCAAGCTTACAGGAAGAGCTGACCACAGCAGGTTGAAGGCCTTTGCTTATCAGCACTATGGCTACACATTTCCCCTGACTGGGCTGCCCTCGGCTTTTCTCTGTAAAACCTCAAGTCCATGGCCTCTCCCCAGAAGCACATGGCCCCCGGTCTCTAAGCCTTATCTGGAGGTTTCCTTGGTGCAGTGTACACAGTGCATGTGCCTGCAAAGGGGACTTTGTCCCCAGGCTTTCAGCTGTTCGTTGTTTTCCAGCCTCGCCTGTACAGGGACAGATGGCCATCACCTTCAGCTCAAGTGTGAAGGCCTGTGGCTCCTACTTCCTGCCACGCACTGGAGAGTGAAGGCACATACAGCTGAGTTGGAGTCAAGTTACAAACCTAAAGGGCACAGCATCATTTCTGACTCCTACTGTCAAAGAGCCTGGGTGCGTCAGGCTCAGCCGCCTCATCTGGAGGATGACCCAAATGAGACCTGAGAGTACATGTTCAGGGTCATTAGTGGCACCACTGGCTTGAGAGCCCAGAGGTGTCTGAAGGACACATTCTTTCTGTAATCTTAGAAGCACTGATTACTTAGCGGAGTTGTCAGCTGACTGGGTGACCTCAGCTGTCTTCCTTGACCTCTGTAGGCCTTAGCCTTAACTCTTCTAGCAGGTGCGTGTGGCCCTCTACTGTTGGATGCTGAGGCAGATTGCTTTCTATCTTCTGGATTTTTTCTGAAAGATTTATTTTTACTTGAAAAGCAGATATTACAAGCAGAGAAGGAAAGATAGAGAAGTTTTCCATCCACTTGTTTATTCCCCAAATAGTCACAGCAGCCAGAGCTGAGCTGATCCGAAAACCAGCGGCCAGGAGTTTCTCCCAGGTATCCCACTTGAGTGCAGGGACTGACTTTAGGCCATCTTCTGCTGTTCTCCTAAGCCATAGAGAGCTGGATCAAAGTGGAGCAACTGGGACACAAACTGGAACTCACATGAGTTGTTGCTATTGCAGACAGAGATTAGCTTGCTACACCACCATGCTGGCCCCTTGCCTTTGGATTTTTTTCTTTTTCTTTCTTAATATTGTTTACAGAATTGAGAACAATACATGCCCATGAGGACCTCTGATTAGGATAGGGAGGGAAAGGTATGGTATGGAAGAAAGTGTGGTTGGGACATGTGTTTCAGTCCTTCATTTTTTTTCCCCTGTGTTTGAGGGTGGGGGTGAGTGGCTGCTCCTCACTGTTAAACTCCATCAGCATTCAGGGATGGGGATGGTCTTTTGATGATGCCTCAGAGACCCTGTGTGGATAAGAGTGTCCCAAGAGTGTTACGGGAGTGGTCTGGTCTGGATAGCCCCAAGACTTTGTTGGTTTCATTACTCCAGGGTTGAGAAAATCTTTCCAAGGTTTACTGGTTGACAGAGTCCACCTTAGGGCATCCACAGACCCAGGAACAAGATGCAAAGATTGGCCAGGAGAATTGTTCAACCTGTTCTGCTTTCCATTCTCTAATGAGGCAGTTCATGTCCCCTTCTGACTAGATGAGCTGACCATCATGTCCCCTGTGTGCATCTGGGCATGCTGTCCACTGCACAGGCATCAGCAACTGAGGAGGCCCAGTCTTGATACATGCACTACAAGGTCAGACCACACATCCTGTGATTTTCTCTGTGGCCAGGATCTGAATCCAGCAGTCTACCTGGGGAGTCCCCAAGAAACCTCACCTGGAGTGAGCTCAGACTTTTGTGTGCATCAGCCAGTGCAGGGTCAGGGTCAGGTTTGATCTATCACCTGCACCAGCCAATACACATACCAGGGGATGAAGCTTGATCAGTTCTGCCTCAGCCCCATATCTCACATGAACCGATAGATGGATGCTATGGCCCAGCCCAGAAACCCCACCACAGATCTGGTCTGCGGCTTAGTTGGACCGACCTCTAAGAATTCGCACCAGGACCTCCCCGAGTCCTGGTTTTGTTGTTGTTGTTGTTTGTTTGTTTGTTTTTTTGGCTTGCCAGCCTCTGCTGTAGCCTAGTCCAGTGCAGCCCAGCCCACATCCCATGTAGCTCTCATGCACACCCACGGATGCTACAGCTTAGCTTAACCTACCCTGCGCCCAAATCTGGCCCTCATGCATGTCTATAGGTACTGTTGTTGTTTGTCCAGCCTAGCCTATGCTCAGCCCTGGTTCTTCCTATTATTTTTTTTTAGATTTATTTCTATTGCAAAGGCAGATTTATACAGAGAAGGAAAGACAAGATTTCCCATCCACTTCCATCACTAACCAAATGGCTGCAACAGCCAGAGCTGAGCTAATCTAAAGCCAGGAGCTAGGAGCTTCTTCTGGGTCTCCCATGTGGGTATAGGATCCCAAGGCTTTGGACCATCCTCTACTGCTTTCCCAGGCCATAAGCAGGGAGTTGGATGGGAAATGGAGAAGCTTAGACACAAATCGGTACCCATATGAGATCCTTGTACATGCAAGGATTTTAGCCACTGAGCCATTGCACCGGGCCCCCATCCCTGGTTCTTGTGTTTACCAGCAATAGATACAGCCTAGCAGGAGAGTTCTCACAGTTCCTCTGCCAAGCATGTTCTCAGCCCTGGATTTCATGCCTGCCAGGGGGTATCTGCACTCAGATACCCCCTGGGAGTGGAAGTGGGAGCCTGAGTGTCAGAGGTGTTCTGTGGCCCACCCTGCCCCT